ATTCCTGCCAAGAAGATATACAAACTACTATATGATGCTCAACATCACTAGCCATTAGAAAATGAAAACTAAATCACCGTATTAACTGGTACCAGCAGATGGCATAATGGTTACATAGCTTGACTCCCACACAGTTGACCACAATTTAAGTCCTGGACCCAGTGGCTTGAAGCTCATGCAGGGTGCAAGTGTGTGTGTGCCCCCAAAATCTGGAGAGGAGAATGAAGGATAAAGGATTGAGGTGTGGCCATTTTCTCACTTTCTGCTTCTCTGTTGGGAACGCTCTCTGGAGAGCACACATGCCCCATAGCACAAATCTCTCTTTAAAAAAACAAACAAAAAACACGCCATACCATCTCATACTCAGTAATCAAGTGGAAATGAAGAAGACAGACAATAACAAGTATGGACAAAAGTCCATGAAAGAACTGCAGTCCTCATACACTGCTGGTGGAAGTAGCAAATGCGAAGCAGCTGCCCTGGCAAACCACCTGGCAGCTCCTTAGACAGTGAAGGGGTTACCCTGTGATCTAGCGATTCTTTTCCTAAGATGCACCCAAGAGAATGGAAACATGTTCAGTAAAAGCTTGTACTCAAATGTCATAGAAGTGTTATTCATAAGACCCAAAAAGTAGAAAGAACCCTAAAAGTCTCTAAACTTATGGGTGAACAAATGAAATACGGTGGCATTTACACAATGGAATAATACTCATCGTGAAATGGAATGAAATACTCAACACGAATGAACCTTGAAAACGCCATGCTAAGTCAAAGCAGCTAGTCGTGAAAGATCACATATTTTATGAGTCCATGTACAGGAAATGCCCAGGATAGGCCAAGCAGAGATAGAAGGCGGCTGGTAAACGGCAGACCTGGGAGGAGGAAGTCACGGGACTGCTCAGTGACGAATGCAGGGCTCTGCGGGGACGGTGGAAATACCCCAAGAGCAGAGCGGTGGCGGCTGCACGAGCCTCCATGTGCAGAACCAGACTGCACCTGAGAAGGGTGCACTTCCTGACACGGAAGTTAGCTCTCGGTAAAGCTGTGCACGCAAAACCATGTAATATGTGCTATACTGCCTCATTTGCATCACTTTTCCATCTCTTCTCTTACACGCATCTTACCATTTTTGCAAAAAGATAAGAAGAATAAACCAAATGCTTGACTTTTATGTCTATGTGTAGTGGGAAAATGGTTGAAGGAAAGGGTGAATGAGAAAGGGTGAAAAGAAAGGTGGAGGGATACCTCTGGATATACGGTTTTGTAGAATTGGCTATTGACACGTTGGTGATGTTTCACATATCTCCGTAAAACAATAACCAAAACCAGGCAGGATGTGAGAAGGACCCAAAATGAAATACAAACAGCAACAAGTGAAACTAAATATATTTCAAAGGAATACACACAAGACTGAAGAGGGTGGGCAAGAAAAGGGCGGAAGTTCGTTCGGAAAACAGTACTTTGTGTTCTGTAAGGCTAAGAACCGAGACACGAGCACGTACATACTAGCCTCTCGTCAATACTGACAGCAGCAGTGCTGACGCCACACCTGCACGTAACAGAACTGGACCACACGGGGAGGCCTGTCACAGGCGGTTAAGCCCTGTGCACTGGGACCAGACCCACACCACCGGGGGTTTGAAAAGGTACACTGAGCGTTTGTGCACGTGTGCCCGAATCCTGACGAGATGGAGAAGCGGACACCGGGCCATGCCCCACCAGAGCATGCTTTTTCTGTCTCTGGTGAGGACACCTGCTCTCAGGAGAAGAAAACAACGACCAGACACGTACCTGGCGCTCTATGCCCACAGAAACGATGGTCCACGTATGCAACCGTGACAGGCCCCCAGCTGGACCTGCGTAAGATACTGTGTGATGTTCACCCGGCAGGAAGCCCTAACGCACATCCTTCGGGACTCGCCCCCATCCTTAGTGAACCATGACTGTGACGGCCAGGTCCTGCGACGCTGGAGAGAGGAGTGGCCATCAACGAGGAAGGCCAGAGAACCAACGGACGGTTCTTCCCACAGGTACACATGCACACATGCACGCCAAAACACAGACACAGAAATGTAACTGTGCGTTACACAGACGAGAAGCAACGCGATCCCAACAGCACTGCAGCACGGGCGAGGCCACCAAGGGCGACTGGGACTCTCGCACGTGCCTGCCTCACTGGAACGGTCTTCTGGCCAGCGATACCACGTGACTTAGAGAATCTGCCCCACGGACGCGGGGTCCAGTGCCCGCGGTCAGGAGAGCTGTCACAGCGTACAGAAAGTCTGAAAGAAGACTCCCCCCCACACACATTAACACTGGTCGTATTTTAGGAGCTGGGCTTAGAACTTACTCAGTTTTCCACTCCAGAGTTTTCCACACTGCAAGTTGTTATTAGAACCCGCATCTCCAAGACCACCACCACAGAAAACGAAGTCACACGCACCGGGAGTCAGGGTGAAAACCCCCTCTACACGGAAACCCCACCGGAGACCCCAGCACCAGCCTGCACTCTCGGAGACGAGCCAGGAGACACACCTACCCTGGTCGGCAGCTCTCGGGTCGCCAGACGCTGGCGACCTAGGGTCAGCAGGGACGGGCACAGAACAGAGGCCCGCTCAGAGAGGGCAGCAGCGATGCTGCAGGGCCATGGCCTGCCGCACGGACCCTGGGGGAAACAGGAAGGTCGCGAACCAGAGACGGCCCGAGAGCTGGCCACGGGCCGCTAAGGAGCATGAAGAGGACCCACCAGACTTACCTTTTCGGTTTCAAGGGGCACATGAGAACCTCTGACCACAAACACATGGCCCTATACAAAGTGGAGGGGAAGGAGCCCTGGGTGCAAGTCAAAGGTGCAGCCACGAGGGAGGGACCTGGGGCAGACGTGAGTTTACATTTCCGAGCAGCTACACAAAGAGAGCAAAGGAGACGGGCAAAATGATCGTTTTTAAACTTAATACATCCACAATATCATTTCAACACGCAGCAAATAAACCCTGAGCTAATTTTGCCGTCTTCTCATACTAGTGTTTTCAAAATCCCCCCTTCCACCTCAGCTCAGCTCAGTCCAGCCCAGCAGCACTCGTGCCATGATTTCCTTCCGGGACAGTCCGGCTAGACGGCGGCGCGCAGGCGGCAGGGGACTGAGAACACTGTTCACAAGTCTACACTAAATGGTCGCGCCCAGCCCTGAGGTCTGAAAACACCGGGACACCACAAGCACAGGAAGGCCAGTGCAGCTGCAGGTGCCCTGTGACCTGGGCAGTCCAAGTCCCTCCAGGCTGCTCTCGCAGGCAGGTGAAGAGCCCGTGGCCACCAGCGCATGGCCCTTGGAAACACGCTACTTTACTGGGTTTTAATCAGTCACTACTGCACCCTATATTCTCACGAGAGATGCATTTGTGTTTTGCTACAGCATTCTGAATACAACATTGCAAGTATTTCTTCTTTTTAAGAAAGATTTCTGATATAGAGCATGTGCGCTCACAGGAGACAGAGAGAGTAAGCGAGAAATCACCCCCAGAGGGGTGATGACGCCACAATCCCTTTTCCTCTACTCTCTTCTTGGGATTTTGGGCATGCATGCACATGTGCCCGGCCTGGGTTTCATGCTGCCAGATCGGGGACTCGAACCACGTTGGCCATGTGGGAATCTGGCAACAAAACCATTACATCATCTGCTGGTCCCCAATATTGCAATTTTTTAAAAATTGCCAGCAGACCCACGCACCTGCCGCAGAGGGGCGAGGGAAAGCACTCCGTAAGGAACACTGTCATGCTGCAGCTTCCCCTCCACTGCTCCACCCCATCAGGATTTGAGGGACGCACACACACGTACACACAGGCCTGGCACGTTCCCGAGCCACCAGCACCAGCACTCAGGCTGCAGCCAGCTCTGGCTCCGGCCTGCAGGACCGCGCCTGACACCTGCACTCCGGCCGGCCACCACACCGTGGCCTGGTAAAATCACGCAGGTTACTCCAGTGCCTCGTGTGTCTCTCGGATTGGATTCTCAGATGTCAGACTGTCAGAATATTACATCATAAAGCATTTGACCAGTAACCGCTGTTACCCACCCTTTCAGACTTCTCCACAGCCTCCTACATAGTATCTCAGAAAAACGGAAGTCCAGCCCTTGGTCGGACAGAACTGTGTCCGCTCACAACCTGAATGCTGAGCCCTAGCCGCAGGGAAACTGTCTGGAGACATGGCCTTTGAAGAAGGGGTGGGTGGGACCAGCAGTTGGCGTAATGGCTATGTCGCTGGACTCCCATGTAGCCAACCGCGGTTCGAGTCATGGGCCTGGTGGCTTAAACTGACACCGGGCGCGTGTGCGTGCGTGCCCAAGATCCCGAGAGGAGAATGGAGGAGAAGGTATTGTGGCATGGCCATCCCCCCTGGGGGGCGATTTCTCGCTTTCTGTCTCTCTGTCTCTGTCTTTCTGGCGAGCGCACATGCCCTATAGGAAAGAGCTCTCCAAAAAAAATAAAAAGAAGAAGAAGGGGTGGGGTAAAGGAGGTAGAAAGGTGGGCCTAAGCGGACGACACCAGAGCCCAGGCCCACCTGCCAGCACGCTGATCCGAGATGTCCAGCCTCAACCCGTGAGAAAGTAAATGTGCGTTGTTTAAGTCACGAATCTGCAGTGTTCCGTCACTGCGGCTCAGCAGGCTTACACACTTCCTGGGAAAGTGCTTTTAGGAAACGGAGTAGGGGCCAGCAGGTGGCGTGGGGCTCACGGGGCTGGAGGCCCACATGACCGATTGCAGTCTGGGTCTCTGACTGGTGCCTTGAAAATCACAATGGGCGTGTGCACGCACACCCAAAACCCTACGAGGAGGATGAAGAAGGGGCAACGGCACGGCCATCTCCCTGGGGACTGATTTCTCACTCATTCTTTCACTGTCTTGTCTCCCTCCAGCAAGTGCATGTCCTATAGCAAAAACCTTTAAAAAAAAAAGTAGCAGAGTTTTTAATAAGCTATGATAAACGTTACTGTATTTACAAGCTTAATCTACAACCAAAGATTTGAAAAGCCTACTTTGTGGGGCTACTAAAACGATCAAAATAGTCTGACACTAGGGCCGCTTGCTGTGGTGCCTGAGGCGGATGGATCCCACGCAGCGGACTGCGCGGTTTGAGTCCCAGAGCAGGCAGCTTAAAAAACGCCCAGGAACATGTGCGTGCAGGCCCAAAGCCCAGGAGGAGGAGTGGAGGGGCTGTGCTGTGACCAGCCCCTCGGGGCACTTGCTCATCTCTGCTTGCTCGCTCGCACTCGTTCTCTCCCTCTCCTCCCTTCCCCCCAGGACAGGTGTCCTCTGGCAAAGCAAAACAGAACACAACAAAAAACCCCTAGGAGCTGCAAGTTCGAATTTTATGCACAGCAAGGTCTTCAACTTGTGTTTTATTATAGGACAACGCTCAGGGACCAGGAGGTGGCCTGGAGGTAATGCGGCTGGACCTGTCGGGGGGTGCTGGGTCTGCACCCCACCATCTCCCTGGGCATGCAGGGTGGGCGTATGCATGCCTGGGGTCCAGCCCAGCTGGGACTGAGGGTGCATCACAGTATGAAGACCTTGTGGGAATCCCTCTCGCCCACCCCGAGAAAGAAATCTTAAATCAGGCAAAACCACCTCCTGAGGCCAGGATTATATACACTGGAGCTAGCGATCAGTGGGGGCTGAGCTCAGTCCACACCCCAGTCCCGCCCCTGCACGCCAGTGGGACGTTCTGTCGGGGGCCAGCTGGGCTGAGCTCAGCCTGACACCCCGACACCCCAGTCCCGCCCCTGCACACCAGTGGGACGTGCTGTCGGGGGCCAGCTGGGCTGAGCTCAGGCGACCTGAGAGCGGAGCAGCACTCCTGCGGCCGTATCCCTGCGGGGCTTCTTGGCAGAGGGACACGGCGTCTGGGCAGGCCCCAAGAGGACGACACGGGGAACAAGCGGGTCTCTTCTGTGAGCAAGCCAGACACCACGCCTCTGCCTGGGACATCACAACTCCGGGATTTGGCCCAGACAGCAAGGCCTCACGGTGAACAGACTATTACAAACAGGCAAGAAAACGGAGTACATTCCATCTGAGCAGGGGTGAAAAGCCGAACCCAGGAGGCCCTACAACAGCTGCCTGAACGTTCTGGTGTTTTCTTATTTAGTTTTTTGCCATAAGGCTCATGTGCTCACTGGAGAGAGATGAAGAGAAGGAAAGTGAGAAACAACCCCCCGGTGTGGGGGGGGCAGGCCACAATCTCTTCTCCTCCATTCTCCTCTGGGGATTTGGGGTGCGCGCGCACACACACACGTGGCCGGTGTGTTTTTTCAACTTGGCAGGTCCAGAACTCAAACCAGAGTCAGCCATGTGAGATCCAGCACCTTCAGCACACCACCTGCTGGTCCTAAACGTTTTAATTGAAGAATAGAGAGCGCAGTCAGCAGGTGGCATACCTCTCTGGTCAAATTAAAATAAATAAAGTTTAAAACAAAAGAAGAATAGGTAAGAGAGTGAGGAGGCAGCCTACATGCAGCTGGACTCGGAGCCGCTGTCACGCAGGGCTGTACCCTGCTGGGCGAGTCAGACCCTCCTCCTCCTCTTGCTGAGCTCAGGGGCATGTCCCCACGACGTACTCCGGTGTACGTGACAGCCAGTGGAGAGGGCCTGGCGGTTCCGATACAACAAACGCAATAAATGACAGCTGTCACAAGGACTGTCACAGACAACAGCTGTCATTACGGCATCTGCACTTTCACCAGGCGAAGAAGTGAGTCCCAACCTAGTTTAAGCAGAGGGAACTGAGGGGCTTTTAATAAAAAATCAGGCCTCGGCCTAGAAGAAGGGCATTTGAATCTTGCTGACAGGGCCTAAGAAATAATACTTTTAACACGACCCCCAGAAGCCCACACTATGAACAAAAGTTCAGCAAGAAGTAAACTATTTTGTAAAAGCGGTGCTTTACGTATAATCATCGTATAAAGGTTTATTAAGGAACTGGTAAGAAACTGGAGGCAGTAAAACCAGGAAACTACTTTACAGAAAAGATGACCCCTTGTTCGTCGGAGTAGACTCTGATCTGCTCCAACAGGGTCCACCGGCAATCAACTCTACTGAGGCTGCCCATCTTTCAACTGAAAAAGGAAGGGCGGGCTGGCAGCTGGCACAGCGGTTAAGGTGCCGGACTCCCAGTGGCTGACAGCAGTCTGAGTCCTGAACTGGACACACGTGCATGTGTGCCCAAAATCTCAAGAGGAGAACTGAAAAGGGACTGCAGCACAGCCCTCAGGGGGTGTTAATCCACTCCCCTCTCTCTGCCAAGTGCACATGCCCTACGGCAAAATCTAAATAAAAGGGCAGTAGACCCGCCCCCCAGCAGGTGGTTACGGTGGTTACGGCGCTGGACCTCACACGGCTGACTCGACAGCTGAAGTCCTAGACCCTGTGGCCTGAAAAACACACCGGGCATGTGTGCATGCGCGTCCAAAATCTTGAGCAGAGAAGGGACTGCGGTGTGGCCGTTCCCACTGCACTGGGGGGTATGATTTCTCACTTTCTCAATCTGTCTGGCTTCCAGGCAAGCACAGGTGCCCCATGGCAAAAATATCTTAAAAAAAAAAAAAAAGGCACTGGAGCCTCCTGCACTACCCGAACTTCCAACACAGACGTAAATGCTCCTGTCGAGGAGGAGCCTTCCTGCGCCTTTCGCTGCGTCCGGGCCAGCCTCGTGCTCACCATGTTGCACCGACGTGCGACAGCGACACTCCTGCGGTGCCGGCTCCGTTTCCTCGGTGCTGACCAGAGGTCTAACTTTCAAGGAGCCAAGGCCGCAGCTTCTCAGCAAAACTAAAACTATTAAAAAGTTTTAAAAAGACTAAGGACTGTCTGCGTCACCCTCCTGCTGGCAGCACCGCGCCTGCTGCTCTGGCCCACCCTGGGCACACTGAGGCCCCCAGGTGCAAAGGCCTTCCAGTTCTCCGGGCTCACGGCTGAGTCAGTAACTCCTCAGTGTCCCCCTTAGACCAGCTTGTCCATTCTGACACGAAGCCCGAGGCAGGGTGACAGTGCTGTGGTGTCACTAGTCAGCTTTCCTGCCAGGTGCTCACCTCCCCAGCTAGGGAACAGCTGCCCCCCAGGCTCCCCTCCTGGACCACGAGCTGTGCTCTGAGCATCTCGTTTCTGCAAACGGTACACTGAACGCACGCCCTGGCCCTTCTCTGTGCTCACGCTACTCCACACGTGCAGAGCGCCACCCTCGCTCCACTCACTCCCCTCGCGCAGCACCCAACCGTACCAACTACAGCTGGGACCCAGAACCGGAAATCCAGCTGGACGCTTAACAGACCCGCCAAGAAACGCG